GTAGTCAGGCTTCCAGGCCCCCTCCACCTACTTCTGTGAAAGCAGCTCTAGTCTTTCCTGCTGTGTATATTAGAGAACCACAGAAGATTTTGTTTGGGTTCTTCTGCTCCAAAGAAGAAACTTGAAAATCAATGGTGCCATGATGTTTACATCCTTTTACAAGTTGCTTTTTGCACTCAGTGGTATGTTTCTGAAATATAACCATGTTAACATATGTTGGTGGAGTTCACTCATTGTAGAATAATCCACAGTATGTTCATTCCCCTGCTGATAGATATTTAGGTGGTTCCCCATTTTTGACCATCTCGAATAATGCTTTAGTGGTAGGCATTTTCAACACAGGCAATGGTCCATGTACATTAAGCTGGACGAGAAGGGACAGCAGGAGGGGCGGATGACTAGTGAGACTGTTGGGGGAGTGGTAGAGTAGATGACTAGGAACTGCATGGATGCAACAGATCCAGGGCCCCTTAAGTGTCAAAATGGGTCTGTGAGCTGAAGAATCCAGTGGTAGCACAGAGTGGACGATGATGAGGTCTAGAGTGGGAGGGACTGGGCAGCTGAGAATAAGGAGGAAAGTGAGTTTGTCAGAAACCTGAGAGGCCAAGGCGTTAGCTGGATTGTTTGCTGGACATCTCCATGGTCCTTTAGCTACACTCTGCACCCTTCGCAGCCCTGCTCTGTGCCCCAGAGGCTGACCTTTAATTACCATCTCAGTGCCCTTTCCCTCAAACTGAGAGGCACACAGCCTGGACTGGGGAAGACGCAGAGACAGAGCATCCATTCCCCCAGCCCCTCCCCTTAAGGTTCCTGCAGGTAGGCTGCTTCTCTACTGAAAGCCACTGCTCATATTCCTACAATTTTTTCTAGCAATAGCAAATGCCCCCTCCTTTGCTGTAGCAGCCCAGGATAGTACGGCACCTTGACTTGGGGCCCAGCATGCTCATCTTGGGTTTCCTCTATGCCAAGAATCATTTTATTGACCTCTTTTCCTCTATTAACCTGTTTAAATGTGCCATCTCTTTCCTGCCTGATTGAGTACAGGGCAATCTCATGGATACTGAAATCTTGGGAAATGATGACAAGAGTAAGAGTAGACAGGAAGTTAGTTCGCTGGATGCAAAAACCTAGTGAGGGGCGATGTCTGTAAATCTACATAAAATGAAACTAGCCTACATTTTTGTAGTTTGCTTGTGAGCTCTTTTAAAACTGAAATTCTTGTCCAATTTTTAGAGGGAATTCCTAGTGTTAGCATAATATCTGGCATGTAGAAAGCATTTAAAAATGAAAATAGTTGAATTGAATAGGACTGGACTAAATCAAATGGAATTAAATGGAATTTTACTGAATAAATAAGATGCTAATTTTGCACATTTTAGACATCATGGGTGTCCCCCATCAAACACCCTTTCCTCTAGCATATGGTTTTTAAAAGCTTTATGAACAGCAAATAAATTACATCAGGGATTGAGTTTCTGAAGTAAATGATAATAAATGTTTGCCTATGTTAGCATCTCATGTAGAAAAATGTTGAAGTCATGAAAATTTTGTGATAAATTCAGATCCCTTTAAGTTTTCAGGACCCACTTTGTGTTTTCATTTTTTTGAGACAGAGTCTTGCTCTGTCATGTTTTTTCATTTTTTTGAGACAGAGTCTTGCTCTGTCACCCAAGCTGGGGTGCAATGCATGATCACTGCTCACTGCAGTCTTGATCTCCCAGGATCAAGCCGTCTTCCCACTTTAGCATCCTGAGTAGCTGGGACTACAGGCGTGTGCCACCACACCTGGCTAATTTTTTTTATTTTTTAGTAGAGACAGGGTCTCACTGTGTTGCCCAGTCTAGTCTCAAACTCCTGAACTCAAGTGATCCTCCTGCCTCAGCCTCCCAAGGTGCTGAAATTATAGGCATGAGCCACTGCACCCGGCCTGACTCACTTTCTTGATATTATATGTATTTTGCTCTTGGAAAACTTTGCTTTCTCTCTCCATGGCAAAAAAAAAAAAACAGCTTACAGTGCTTTCAGAACATATAATTATTCATTTGAATATAATTTTATTAGACATATCTAGTAACATTTTCTTGAATTTATAATACTGAGTAGGAAGAAACAAAATATAAAATCTTTCTTGAATTTTAGTTTTAATCTAAAATATTGTATGTCTTTGCATAATATGAGTTAAAGCTTCTCTGGCATTACACAGTGATTGTTCTCCTGAAATAGCAGATCATAGAGTTGGTAGGGGAAAAACACAAAGAAAATATGGCTGAATTTGCATTTGGCATTTTTTTGGCATAGGGATGCCGGCATTTCCTCTCTTTTTTCCTTTCTCCAAACACTGCACAAGTAATAATTTGACTCTATATCTGTGGCTTCTGTTGACTACACATACATGAAGTTGTAATTCATAGTGCCCATTATTTGAAAAGCATTTCAAGTCAGAACTTAAGATTCAGCCTTTCATGCCAAATAAGGACAGTGGCTAATTTGGGGTTGCCAAAACTATGTATTCAATTCTTTATATTCTAGAATAAGAAAAGTCATTTCAAATCAAAGGGTATTGTTGGCACTTATGAATAAGAAATTCTGTCTATTCTAATGCAGCAGTAAAAATTATTACCTGCAATCTTATTTTGGAGTAGCTCCATCATAAAACATCCAGAGCTGGTCAAACACAGTGGCTCACACTTGTAATCCCAGCACTTTGGGAGGCTGAGGCAGGTGGCTCACCTGAGGTCAGGAGTTTGAGACCTGCCTGGCCAACATGGTGAAACTCTGTCTCTACTAAAACTACCTAAAATTAGCTGGGCGTAGTGGTGGGTGCCTGTAATCCCAGCTACTCAAGAGAATGAGACAGGAGAATCGTTTGAACTGGAAGGCGGAGGTTGCAGTGAGCCCAGATTACGCCACTGCCGTCCAGCCTGGGTCACAGAGCAAAACTCCATCTCAGAAAATAAAATAAAGAAGTCCAGAGCTTTAAAATCTTCCTACTCAGTAGCTCAGCAGATTTTAACATGTGATAAGTAAGGTGACAGTCTAGAGTAGAAAATTATATCTCCACCCTGATTATAGTCTCAGAAATGTGTTCAGCTGGTCATTAGAAGAGAGTACTGCATGTTCCAGACTAGAATACTCAAGTGGGATGACTTGATCTCCAGAGGACTGAATCTGGATTCCCTGAAGAGTGTGCTGGCATAAATTAGTGATGTCTGCCACCAGTGGCTAGGGTCAGGGGAATAGCAGCACTCAAGACATGATAGAAACAGCAGAATTTGAAGTTAGAGGATTAGGGTCAGACTCTTATCTCTATCTGTTATTAGCTGTGAGGTAACTTGGGTAATCACCCATTCAGCAATCTCAGTTTTCTCGTATATAAAATGAAGATAACAGTTATCAAGAAAATTAAAATTGGTATCACAAATAAAAAATAATTGAAGTGCAGCTTACATCTTATGAATTGCTAGTGTATTTTGCCTATCCCAATCTAATGTTTTCCCCCTTTTAAACTCATGGCATTTTATCGTGTGTGTGTGTGTGTGTGTGTGTGTGTGTGTGTATGAGAGAGAGAGAGATTGAGAGAGACAGAGAGACAGGTCTTGCTCTGTCATCCAGGCTGAAGTACAGTGGCACAATCATAGATCATTGCAGCCTCAACCTCCCAGGCTCAAGCAATTCACCCATGTTAGCCTCCTGAGTAGCTGGGACTATAGGCATGTGCCACCACGCCTGACTAATTTTCATATTTTCTGTAGAGACAGGGTTTCACCATGCTGCCCAGGCTGGTCTTGAATTCCTGAGCTCAAGTGATCTACCAGCCTCAATCTCCCAAAGTGCTGGGCTACTCATGGCATTTAGTATTCTCTCACTCTTGGCAACTAATTGTGAATTACCTACTGACTCACGTTAGTGTATTATCTTACTTCACCATATTTTATTTTCCTGTACTACCCACAATTTATAGCCCATGCCTCTCCTGTAGTAGGGGATCCCAAGTACGAATGAATGTAAACATGTCACTAATAGTATTTTAAAACTCCAAATGTTGACAGGGCGATGAGTAGTTACTTATCTTTTTATTTGAAAGCATGTATTTTGCATGCTACTTGAAAGGATTATTGTGATTTTATGTTCATAAGATCATAGTTTTTTTGTTTAAAAACTTTTTTTTTTTTTTGAGACAGAGTCACTGTTGCCTAGGCTGGAGGCAGTGATGCAGTCTTGGCTCACTGCAACCTCCACCTCCCAGGCTCAGGCGATTCTCATGCCTCACCCTTCCAAATAGCTGGGACTACTGGCGTGCACCACCACACGTGGCAAATTTTTATATTTTTAATAGAGACGGGGTTTCACCGTGTTGGTCGTGCTGATCTCAAACTCCTGACCTCAAGTGATCCATCTGCCTTGGCATCCCAGAGTACTGGGATCACAGGCATGAGCTGTCGCACCTGACCAAAAACATTTTGTTGGACTTTACTTTCAAGGAACTGAGGTGCTTTGTGTGCTTGGGCAGCTCCCCTGAGCCAGTTTGCAAAGGGTGCAGGCAAATGGGCTTGGTGGCTCAGGTACAAAGGAGGGTCTATATTTCTGTGGGGAGGTTGCTGACACCCATGTGTAGGTCCCACTTTTGGGGTTGACCAGTGGTCAGGGCGCTGGGCTTGCCTGCTTTCTCTACACAGCATTGACACCTTCTATCCATCTCTTTAATTCTTATAACTCCCCTTTCCTCTTTGCTGACACTGGACTCAAAGGGTCATAGACGTTTAATGATTTGCATAGTGCCAGGCCCTGAGTCATCTGGATTCATTGTCCAGTGTTCCCTCCACTACTCAGTGCTTTTAAAGTCCAGCTCTCCTGCGAGTTGATTGCACTTCCACATAAATTATTTCTTCTAGCTTGCTGGAAAGTTCCTTGGCTTTCTGCTTATCTCTGCAAGGACAGTTAGTTCCCTGTTGCTGCTGCCAAGCATGTAAACAACATGTTTCTTCTTTCTGTGGTGACAGGCACATCTCATTATCCTGAGTAAAAGCCCCTCTCAAGAGGAGGCAGCAGACTCCGCACATATCGTCGCCCACGCTGCTGTCGCTTCAGGGAGACCCGAGCACCACGGTGAGAAGATTCCTTTTCTCTTCCTGTCTCACAGGCACCTGAGTCTGTAAACAAGCTGCCTTCTAGATGGGTTAACAGGTGGACAGAGCTGTGCCACAGGCCTGCCACAGAGCCTTCCTTGCTTTATCTGATCATCTGCAGCTATGCTACTCTGCTGCTTTCCTTAGAGTCCTTTGGTTTCTCTCCCCTTCTAGCGTTCTTCTAATCTTTTATTCTTAAATACAGCTAATCTCTATCCAAATGTAGCTGTTAAGAGCCCCAGAGAATCTGTACTGGGCTTACAGGGAAATCTGCTCTGCCTTCAAAGGTGATCTATTTTTAAAGATTGTTGTGGCAACAGCTCTGGCCTCTGGGCCAGCCACCCTCCAGACACTCCAGTCAGGGCTGAACTTTCAATCAGGATGAACTAACACGACCAGGACTCCAAAAAGGAAGTTGCCATTTATGGCTTATATGGTTTTCTTATCCCCACATAATAGGTAGCGCGTCAAACTTCAGGAATTGTTTAATCCACCATCCTGGGCTCAGAGCATACCGATTATACAGTGTGCCTCCATTGGCAGAAAACACATAGTACTAATGATTTTTTTTCTGGTCACAATATTAAGAAATGGAGTTCAGTTCATAAAGAAGACCTAGGGGTGAATTCCAAGATATCAGATAAAAATAATTACATACCGAATAAAATAAGGTTCAGTGTGATCAAAAGCATAAAATCAACATGTGGAAGGCAAGGGGTTGATTGAGGAAGCAGAAGTCAGGCTAAGATGAGGCCAGCACATGGGAGAAGGTGAAAGGAAAGCTTCAATGAGCAGCCTGGTCCAGAGAGATCCACAGGCCAGGCAGGGAGCTCCAGTCCACGGAGGAACTGATGAAGGGGGCATCGGCATTCATCCGTCTGTCCATCCCACCTTGCGGATCTCCAAGAGCTTGAAACACCGTTTCAGATCTGGAGGAGCCTGTCTAGGGATGGAGCGAGGAGAAAGGTGACCTTTCTTGTCCCTGCTCCCTACAACATTGCTTATTGGTGCCTAAAATTCATGTAATAGGAGGAAAGTACTTTCTATTCCATACCTATTAATAAAACACTTAAAATACATGTTTGATGGAAACTCCTAGAATAGCAAGTCACAAATCTGAATGTCTACAGAAACCAAGCAAGCAATGTGAGTGAAGCAGGTGGTTATCAGAAACCAGCAGCAGCAGCAGCAAGGGTAGTATAAATGGCAGCTAACTGTTGGCTGTAGTATGAGAGAGATGAAACAGAGTGGTGAGGACTGTGGCAAACTAAAACCCATACCTGCTACTCAGCTCCAGCCCATGGCAGCATGTGGAGGGGAGGCTCATACTGGCAGAGCTCCTTTTTAAGCGAAGGTAGAAATTTGGAGTTTTATTGGAGAATCTTCAATTTTTTTAAATTATTTTTTATTTTTTTAGAAACAGGGTCTCACTCTATCACCCAGGTTAGAACACAGTGGCACAGTTATAGCCCACTGCAGCCTCAAACTCCTGGGCTCAAGTGGTCTTCCTGCCTCAGCCTCCAAGGTCGGTGGGACTACAGGCACACACTGCTTGCATTCTGCTAGTTTTAAAAAATTTTTTGTAGAGACAGAGTCTTGCCCAAGATGGTCTCAAACTCCTGGCCCTAGGCTACCCTCCCATCTTGGCCCCCCAATACTCTGGGACAATAGGCATGAGCCACCACACACCCAGCCCTATTTTTAACTGAGGTAACTAACTGAAATATGTTTAAGGCTCTGAGTGAGTCAAACCAAGTGTGAAGGCTGGGTCCACGACTTTTGACCCGGAAAGCAACAGTGTGAATAAGTTGCTGTCAGATCTTTCCTATGTTCCTTGAGGGTGTAAATTGGCAGAGTATAGGGGAGGTGGGTCCATTCCTGAATGAATACCAAACAGAGAGAGGGCTAAGGCCAAAAGACCATCTTTTTGCCTAGAGGGATTCCAGCTTCCAGCACTTGACCCAGTACTCAGTATACTCTCTTGCAGGTACGAATGGAGTGGGACCTAGAGATTCTGTGCCCTAGAATGCCATTGTCCCATAGCTGCAAAGTTAGGCCACTCTGCTTTGCATGACTTATGGAGTCAGAGACAATCCAATTTTGGTTACATATTTTTAAAAAATTTTCCAGTCTAAATATAGCACTGTATTACCTTCTCTTAAACTGAAAATGATAATAATATGTACTTGATACAGATAATAAATATGTGATAACAGTTATTATATTAATAGCTACTGCTTATATACAGCATACCAGCAATGGTTGTCACCTCACTATATTTATTAATTCACAAATCCTTGCAACTCTATGAGATAGGTACAATTATCCCCATTTTTAGATGGAGAAACTGAGGCACCCAGAGATTAGGTAATTTTCCAAAGGGCCCATAACTAGTGAGTGGTAAAGATATGATCCCAGGTAGCAACCACCCCAGAGGCTCTTTATGCCATGTCACATTATAGGGTCTGGCACTGCACGTGTCTCCTCCCACTTTAGGCCCACCAAAGAGTCTATGGAGTGTTGGACAGACAAGGGACCCAGGAAGAATGAAGGCAGCCCAGAGAGAAGGGTTTGGAGTGCCAGTGAGAAGGCCTGGGATCCAGGAGCATGTGGAGAATCTCAGCTCCAACCTTCAGCAGCTGAGGGCATTCAGTGACATGCACCCAGAAAGCCCACTTGCCAGTCAGAATTGAAATATGTGAGGAACCACTTTGGGAGGCCAAGATGGGTGGATCACATGAGGGCAGGAGTTGAGACCAACCTGGCCAGCATGATGAAACCCTGTCACTACTAAAAATGCAAAAATCAGCCAGGCATGGTGGTGCATGCCTATAGTCCCAGCTACTCGGGAGGCTGAGGCACGAGAATCACTTAAACCTGGGAAGCAGAGGTTGCAGTGAGCCAAGATTGTGCCACTGCACTCTGGCGATGCATTGGGGTCTGTCTCAAAAAAAAAAAAGTGAGAAACCTGAAGTAGATGGGTAAGAAGGCCATTTCTCCCAGGCATAAAGAGTTGGGACTGATAGTTTTACAAACTGGGAAAGGGTGCAGCTTCTGCATTAGGCCTGGAGGATTGATTGCTTGAAGCAAAAGCAAAGGATGACTGAGAGACTCTTGAGCAAGCAGGAAACATAATAATAACAGCAACAATGACAATAACAACCGTAGCAGCAACACCCAGGCACCTCTTGTATGCTTGTGCTGGTACTTCCACAGACATGCTCATTTAATCCTTTTAACAACCCTTGGAGACAGGACAGGACCTCCCATTTTACAGATGAATTCACAATGCCAGCTATTCTTACCAGAGAGTACCACGAATCTGAAGGACCTACTCTCTCTACTCATTGCTCTACCCAAAAAGGACCAAGTCTCCATCAGTCTGTATGGTGCTCCTAGGCAGGCCCTTGTCAGATTCAGCACCTATCAACCAGACGACATTTGAACTGTTTATCACCTTGACGCTGTTAGGAAGAAAGCTGACTAAGGCCTTAAAGGTGAGTAAATGCTGAGTGAGTAGCCAGGGCCAAGAAGCAATGGGCTAGAAATAGATGCTGATTGTCCTGCAGCAACATGAAGTCTGGAAGAGGCACAAAAAGGAGCACAAGCCTTTGCCCCTAAGGCCTCAGACAAATCACCTAAATGGGCAAGTCAGAAACAAATAAAAGCAAGAAGAATCCTCAAACTATTCCTGCCTCATGAACATACTTTAAAAACCGCTGCCCACACTGCCATGTGTGTACCTTTGCAACTATCTTGCATGTTCTGCACATGTACCCCAAAACCTAAAATGCAATAAAAAAAGAAAATAAATAAATACTACAAAACAAAAATGCTGCCATTGAAATCCTTGCACCCTTAGTGGCAGATGTGGAAAAGGCTGGAAACGGAGCTCACCAGGCCAGCACATGTGGGGAATCAGCTTCACTCTAGAAGCAGAAATGCAACAGGCACTACCCGGCCAGGGGCTGCAGTGGGAGCACAGGTGGGTACATTCCCAGTGTCTTTTTTTTTTTTTTTTTTTTGAGACAGAGTCTCTCACTGTCACCTGGCTGTAGTGCAGTTTGGCTCACTGCAATCTCCACCTCCTGGGTTCAAGCAATTCTCCTGCCTCAGCCTCCCGAGTAGCTGGGACCACAGGGTGTGCCACCATGCCCAGCTAATTTTTTGTATTTTTAGTAGAGACAAGATTTCACCATGTTGGCCAGGATGGTCTCAATCTCTTGACCTCGTGATCCACCCGCCTCAGCCTCCCAAAGTGCTAGGATTACAGCCGTGAGCCACTGTACCCAGCCCCCACTGTCTTTTATGTCACCTCTCTGCTGTCCCCTCATGTGGCCAATGCCCCCACAGCAGGAATGAAAGAAATCCACTTCGGGCTATGGTTTCTCCAGGTTTCTGCTGCCTCCAGCAGTGGGAAATAAGAAAGGGCAATCTGCAGCTTATCTTTGTGTAACAACGAAGGGGCGACCAGATCCTCACTTTTTCACCAGCACAGGACTTCCCAACCTGGATGTTGTTCACTTCTAGTTCAGAAGTCCTGGCCAGATCCCAGGAGCAAACCTACAAGTTCCACCCAGCACCAAGGGGGAATCTTAGCTCTGCTCTCCTGTGCTTCAACCTGTTTGTATGCAGTACAAAGACTTTTGGGGGCTTGGTTTTGGTTTTGAGTTTTGAAGAAAAAATAATCATGAATTAGGAAAGTTTCTCTTTTGAGGATTCTGTATTGCCTGCTTGCTTGCTGAATGCCCATTGAAGGCATTGCCCTCTAACTAACAAAATACCACTGGCCAAGAAGCAAGTGTTTCAGGCTCGACGCACAAGCTAATCCCTTTGCTCTGTGCCTTCCCTGTATTCCTTATGCAGACAAAACTGCCCTAGAAGTCACGAAGGCTTGTGATTGCATAAAGATTCCCAATTCAGGCTCCTGGAATGTCACTAACCTGAGCCTGGCCAGCTTCCCAGAGCAGCCATAGACAA